ACTATGAAACTCTGCAGCCACTGCAGCATGAGTTCAACCCAAGCCAAAGAGGTGACCCACATAGCGTGGCAGACCTCTCCTGACCAGCCTGCTGCTCCCCTCAGCAGTGTATTTCAGTCGATCTGCCTATTCTGCTCTCTACTCTGTCTCTGGTGAATCCTCTCATCCAGCACACTTCTGGCCTTACCTGCTCCTGAACAGCTGTCTCATGCACCATGTAGGTCAGATTGAACTCTGGCTGGGGCTTGAACTTTTGCTGCAATGACTGCTAGTAGCTTTGGTGCTGAGACTTAACCCCTTTGCCACTGGAGGGCCTGGAAAGGTATTTTCAGTTCTCACAGATGAAAAGAGAACATGGAACCTTGTAATTCTTGTATCCATAAATAAATAAATCTTTTAACAAAAAAAAAAATAATGAACCTACCCAGCCTGTGGGCACATTGCACAACAGGCTCTGACAAAACTTTGACTCCAGTCAATGATCTGGTGTTCTCTGGTACTGATAGAAATAAGTGCTGATGCTATGATAATAAAGATTTTACTAATAATGGAAAATATACCAAGACAAGAGTTAAGTCTTGCCCAGATGGGGTTTTGTAACAGGGTGGTCCCTAGGAAAAGGGGAAGTTCCAGGTTCCCTGTTCCATCCAGAAGGAGGGTGGAGCTGAGCAGAGAAAAAGGAGAGAGGGGAAGAAAAGGAAGAAGCAGGATGGAGAGCCAGAAGGGAGATGTGAAGAAGACACATGGAGCAGCAAGCATATGATGAAGAAACCGTGCTTGTTTCTTGACCCTGGACTGGTTGAGGCAGATGTGGGTGAGATACTTGCAGGGAGGTGACTATGGCAGTGTTTATATTGATTTTGATTTTGTTCTTTTCCTCCCAGACTTGTTTGGCCATGTCTGACCCTTTTCCATGGGTCCCGGCCAGAAGGTGCTTTGGTCTTGTGGCGGGCTTTCAGGCCTTGCTTTGGGCCAATCCCTTTTGGGTTGACTTTTGCCCACGAGGGGATGGGTAACTTCAGGTGTTTGATTTAGAAGTTATACTCTCTGTGTTCCATATTGTATATTCACTGTATTAAAGTCCATTTTCATTAAAGTTTTATATGTTTTGTCTTATTGCGGCAGATGGCAGAACCCACTTAGAGCAGGCAGGTTTGGGGCTTCAGGGGAGTCCCTCTCTCCCTGTCCTGTAACACTTTCATCTCCACACTGGTTTGCCTGCACCCTAGTTCTTGTATGCATAAATAAATTTTTAAAAAATCTTTAAAAAAAAACCCCACCAGATCACTTCATCACTTCCATTTACCCTACAGGAGGGGAAAAGATTTATTCTTGTAAGTTAAAAAAAAAAATGGGGGTTAACCAACCACCTTACATAGTGTTGAGATGCAGGTGGGGAGGCATTATATTAGAAACAAGCTCAGTGCAAAAATAAATACCTTTTGGGTCATATATTAATTTCTATTCAGGATAACATGCATGCCTTAAGTTTATTATCTCTTGGGTTGAAGGCATCACAAGACCAGAAAAAGGAGGTAGGGCTAGAATGTTTAACATAGTTGTTAAACCAACTACAGAAATGAAAATCCTTAGGCTCAGATTTCTGTAGAAAAGAGACGGCTATAGAAAATATCTGGATACACAGACTAGAGGCGGGGATATAGAGTTTGAGGGTCACTATAGAGAATCATCTGTCCTTAACAAATCAAACTGATCACACCCTGGAAGTGATTAACACAGGTAACAGATAAAAAAATGAATAGCCCCTCCCCACATAAGGACACTATATCAGTACATTTTCTGCACTGGCAATAGGCAACTTTTCTGCCCACTTGTGACTATGCAGGCATTTCTTTTCATAAACCTTTTCCTTTTGTAAAGCAGGAGCTGAGTCTCTCCACCCACCTTCGTCTATGCAAGTGTCTCTTGTTTTTTTCCTTTTAGTTGACAATGGTTTTGGTTCTTGTGCTGTAGCTATTGAGGAATAAACACCAAATACTAGACAGTTCAAACATTAGCAAGCTCAGGTTTATTGTAAGAAAGACTGACAGCAGGAGGGGTCCAAGGGAGGAGACTGTCACTGAGATCATAGACTCCCTTTTTATAGATGCTTTTGGGGACTTCACTGCACTTAGGTGATCCCAGGGGCTCTTTTCTGCTTTGGAGAACTTTCCCACTGCCCTATTTTGACTCACTGCACCCCTTTGTCACTCATAGGTGTGAAGCCACAGCAAGATACTATTTCCCCACACCTCTATTGCTGCCTGCTCATGTCTGCCATCCTTCTAGCTATCAGCCTTTGCCCATTAGCCCCTACTCCTTCAAGACCCCCTAAGACAACAAGACTTGCACTGAAGAACAGGGTGGGGCTTCTAGATCTTTCTGGCTACTTCTGCTGAGCACAGTCAGTGTGAGGCCTCTCATTGCGATCAGAGTCCCTCTATAGATGGGGGATGTTGGAGAAGTGAGATCAGGGCCATATGTAGCTTAATAGCCTAGATCCTACGGGAGGCAAAAGATGTGAGAAGATTCAGTATGCAAGGTCCAAACAAAAGAAGGAGAAAGAAGAATATGGGTTCTGTCTAGCAGCAGTATCAGCCAGGATTAGATCCCTGGAAGAGGTTGCTTAAGTCAGGGACCCAGGAGTTACACTGACTGCCAACTTTTCCCTGTAACCACAATGCATTTTGGAGAGTCTGATCAATCTCTCACTCTAACTGGTAGGAGGTGTTGCTAAAGAAACAGCAATTGGTGATAAGGGCATTAAGTGATGGGTTCCCTTTTTGCCCACTGGATCTCTGTCTGAGTTCAAGTTGAGAGTGGTAGTGGCTGTGTAGCACGGTGTGGTTGAGAAAGAGAAGGGACCAATTGGAGAGGGATACTTGAGCCATTGTAGTTATTGACACCCTGGAATGTGGGAATCATTGCATTCCAGTGAGTCTGAACTGCTGCAGCCTTCCCATAAACAAGAAACCCTCAGGGGCCCAGAGCAAAGAGTTTTGAAGCAAGAGTTAGCTGAGAAGAGCAACAAGTTTCCGGAGAGAATCTCATTAAGAGTTACCAAAGAGGAAGTCAGAAAGTGGGATTTTGATGTTGCACTTCTGTGGTACCAGTCAGAAAACTTATTCCAGGGCCCTTCCTGGTGGCACAATGGGTTAAAGCTCAACACTATGAAGCTATCTGCAGCCACTGCAGCATGAGTTTGATCCCCAGTTCTGATCACATGGCAAAGCAGACCTCTCTGGTTTTGCCCACTGCTCCCCTCAGCAGTATATTTCAGTCAGTCAAGCTTTTTAGTTCCCCACTC